TTTTGCGGCAAAATTATCCACACCCACCGCCGCGCTGTGAATTGTGGGATATATGGGACCACGAAGCGTGCACCGGACCACGCTTGATATTTGGGGAAATCGACGGCGCATTTGGAGTATGCATTTGAAGTACACTTCGAATTTTTTTGTTTTCATTTTTGCACAATGGGAGGAGGCGGTGTCGCGTCGTCCATGTTTTCTAGAGTCAGTGGTTTAAACATGTGTGTAGTACAGACAGTAGGAGACAGTGAGGTTGGATGCTAACAGGCAGGACTGGAAACCGGGCCTGCAGGGCTCTGTGAGTCTCCTACACCGACACCCTGGCTGTACACTATTGTACTGAGCAGCGTGTGTGTGAGATGATCTGACGTGTCTGAGCTCAGACTGCAGCTACAGGAAGTTCCCACTGAGCCTTTTTAGATGTAACTCCAAACGCGAGCAGGGGGAGGAGCCACAGACACAAACAGGAAGTAGAAACAGTAAACCAGCCCTCCTCCTGTCACACAGCCAGGGTGCTGTTAGCTCAGTGCTGATGGAGCTGAGACCTCCACCCACACAGAGAGACAAGCACTCCCACCTAAAGAGGCAGAAACATGTACTACATATGGTACTACGTGTAAATACTACATATTTGTCCTGCTGCAGCTGAGGAGCATAAAATCATTCAGTTAGTAACATAAAGTTTTATCTTTTGTCTGATGTCACAGCCTGAGTTACTTTCAGCTGATGTTATTCACAGCATATAGGCTACAGTCATTTATCATAATTAACTGCAGACAGATGAGCTTTGTCCACCTGACCTGAGTCTCTCTCACTGCACACCTGCTGGTGGACCTGAGTGACCCTCACAGGAAGCTTCTCTCAGCTGCTTCCTCTGTGATGTTCTGAGTACAGGTTTCTGTGTGAGGGGAGAACACATGTGCAGAAGCCTTTACTGCACATGTGTGTTTGTGTTGTGTTGGTGATCTGAGCTGGATGGAGACACTGATGAGCTGGACAGGTTCACTGTGACAGACCTGAGCTGATGGTTCATTATCATGCACTGTTTCTTTGCTGATGTGTGTGTGTGTGTGTGTGTGTGTGTGTGTGAGAGAGAGAGAGAGAGAGGTCATGTGACTGGAAGCACAGGTCTCACCTGTTTCATGTTTCTCTCTTCAGTTTCCCAGCATGCCTCAGGGGTGGAGGTGTATGAGGGGAAGGAGTCTGTTCTGCTGCCCTGTCAGGTACCAGCTGATGTTTCCAGGAGCTTCACAGCAGCAGTGTGGAAAAACGAGGAGCTCAGAAACCCAACAGTTCACCTGCGTAGGCAGAAAAGTGACGATCTTAGTGGTCAGAATAATGTTTACAAACATCGAACATCAATGAGAGTCGACGCTCTGCAGACTGGAGACCTCAGCCTCACTCTGAGGAAGCCCACAGTCTCTGACAGTGGTAACTACACCTGCATCCCAAGCAAGGAGGGAGAAGTTCAGAGCGAAACTGTAGTACAGCTGAAAGTCACAGGTCAGTGGACAGAGGTCAGATTGATGTGAGTTCATACAAACATGTTGATGATGTTCATGTCTCCTGTGTTTGTGTTACAGAACCTCCTCCTCCTTCAGTCTGGCCCATAGTCGTCGCAGCTGTGCTGGTTACTCTGGTCATCCTGGCTGTTGTCTCAAGTCCGTTTGTGTGCTGTGCATATAAAAGGATAAAGGACAGCAAAGGTGTGTGTGTGTGTGTGTGTGTGTGTGTGTTTTAATGTGTGTGTGTGCGTTTCCACAGAGCAGACCAAGAAGTGGAAGCAGCAGCCGTCACCTTCACCTGTTACTCAGTAACACCACAGTCACACATTCAGTCATTCAGTTGTTGTGTTCATCTTATCAATAACAATAATTCATCTCGATGCGTGCTCAGTCATTCAGGTATCTTATGGTATTCAACTCTGTGCACTTTGCTGTTATTTATCGTCCCCTTAAATACAAAGAACTTCATAAATGACTTTTCAGAATTCCTAGCTGGGCCCAACTACGATCATGTTCTTATTGTGGGAGATTGTCATCTTAATTTTACATTAAGATTTTAATGTACATGTCTGCTGTCCTGACAAACCTCTGGTGAAGGAGTTTTTAAGCCTTATTGACTCTTTTAATCTGGTCCAGTCTGTAGCTGGTCCCACACACGAACACAGACACACACTAGACCTGTCACACAGTCCACCTGTGTCTAATGTGGAGGTGACCGTATGGCTGTATTATTTGATGCTGTGTTTTCACACACTACAGTTCAAACCAGTGCTCCTGTTCGCCGCTGTCGGATTTGATTTCAATCTTCTTGAACTATCCTGGACTCTGTGGCGCCACTAAAAACCAGGCAGCCCAAGGCTAAAACCGAGCCTTGGTTTAGTGACACGATGCAGGCTGTGAGAAGGGAGTGTCGTAGAGCTGAACGCAGATGGAAGAGGGGCAAACTTCAGGCGTCTCTTCTAACCTTAAAGGACCGCTGGCGTCTCTATCAGGATACAAAATGCTGCTGCACAACTTTTAACTGGAACTCCCAGTTCAAGTCCCATCCTGGCTGTTTTTTAAATTGCCCCACCCTGACCTTAACCACCCCCAGGTTTCTCAGGTCAGCTGATTAGCTGCTGCTGGATACCCAGGTCCAAGAGGAACAAATTTGCCACATGTGGGACTAATAAAGGTTATCTTATCTTCAGCTCAGAGGGGACAGCGAAGGGATGGAAGTTTTCTGTTTGCCATGTCAGAACTTTGTTTGCAGCTGGGAGTTGTCTGACAGCGTTTCATGAATAAATTGATTACTTACAGTGTTACTGGTTTTAACTAATATCTGCTAGAATCTCTGCAGACCATCAGTAGCAGCCTGAAGCAGAAGAATTAATTTAAGTCTCCTTCATGTCTCTAAAGAAGTGCTGACACATGCACAACTTTCACAGATTAAATAAATGTTTGTTATAATTCAAAGTTAGTACTGCCTGTAGCAGCTGTTTGTGCAGCCTCACACATCAACACACAACAGTTCAGCTCCAAGTCACAGAAACACTGAGAACAGCTGGTTACACAGAGGACAGGATGGACCATCAACCTCACTCATGTCTGTCTAAACCTCATGTTCTCCTCTCAGCTCTGCTGCCAGAGGTGGTGGAGGTGCCACAGGGGGAGGAGTCTGTCCTGCTGCCCTTTAAAGCTACAGCTGACCTTCCTCAGGACGTCACAGTGGAGTGGACACTCACTCAACCCAAAGAGTGGAAGGTCCACGTGTATCAGAGTGGAAACAATCTGTCAGATGAACAGGACCAGCGTTACAGAGGTCGCACAGAGATGAAGGATGAAGATCCACTGAGAACTAAAGACTTCAGTCTGACCCTGAAACCCCTCCACCTCACTGACAGTGGAGTCTACACCTGCACCATCTCCAACAAGGATGAACGCGTGCTGCTACAGAAAGTAGTGATACTCAGTGTCAGAGGTGAGTGTAGCAGCTGTTTGTCCACATCACAATTCCTCCATGAATAAGATCCAATCAGACAGATTCTTTGGTGCTGTGTTCTTTACTTTAATTCTTTTAAGATAACCTTACTAAATGTCTGGATATGACAGTATCTGTATCATCATCTGTTTGCTACTACACATAGTTGTAACCCCCATTACTGGTTTCATTCTCAAATGCTGTTTTCGAGGTCCATTTTCAGAATATGTCCAGAAAGCTCGTATTGCTTTGTTTTCAGTTCGACAATAACAGGTCCAACAAAGCTTTGGCAGGAGAACATGCAAAGACATGATTTGTTAGCATTTGTAGCATAGAATTGATCACAGATAGTGCTGAATTTCTCTGTTTTTCTCAGCAGTGCACACAGTGGGAATATTGAGTCTCATCATCATGGAACAGTAACAGTGAGCTTTTTTATCTGTCTGTCTGTTCTTCTGTTTTCTCTCAGCTCCTCAGCCAGAGGTGGTGAATGCAACAGATGCAGACGAGTCTGCCCTGCTGCCCTTTACAACCACGGCCGGCCTTCGTCAGGACGTCACAGTGGAGTGGACTGTCACTGAACCCACAAAGAGGAAGGTCCACGTGTATGAGAGTGGAAACAATCTGTCACACCAGGATTACAAGGATCGCACAGAGATGAAGGATAAAGATCCACTGAGCACTAAAGACCTCAGTCTGACCCTGAAACACCCCCGCCTTGACGACAGTCGTAGCTACACCTGCACCGTCTACGACAAGGATGGACACATGCTGCTACAGAAAGTAGTGACTCTCAGAGTCAGAGGTGAGTGTACCAGCTGTTTGTCCACAGTGTGAATCCCTGCATGTGTAAACCTGTGTGTCCAGCTGTTTGCAGCTGTGTGAGAATAAAAGCTGCACAGCTGTTTGTGCAGCCTCACACATCAACACACAACAGTTCAGCTCCAAGTCAGAGAAACACTGAGAACAGCTGGTTACACAGCAGAGGACAGGATGGACCATCAACCTCACTCATGTCTGTCTGTCTCTTTACAGAGAGTCTGCCAGACATTGTGCAGGCGGTAAAAGGAGCGGCGTCCATCGAGCTGCCCTTAAAAACCACAGCTGACCTTCCTCAGGACGTCACAGTGAAGTGGAAACTCACTCAACCCAAACACATGATGGTCCACGTGTATGAGAGTGGAAACAATCTGTCACAACCGGATTACAAGAATCGCACAGAGATGAAGAAAGATCCACTGAGCACTAAAGACCTCAGTCTGACCCTGAAACACCCCCACTTTAGTGACACTGGAGTCTACACCTGCACCGTCTCCAACAAGGATGGAGACACGCTGCTGCAGAAATCAGTGACTCTCCATGCCACGGGTGAGTGAAACAGCTGTTTGTGTGAATCCAGCATGAATGAGTGAAATCAAAGAGCTGCTGATGGATCTGTGATAACCTGATACGATAAAATAATGTTTCTGATGAGACACAAAAGTGCTGAAAATGAATTTTAATAACTGAAAGTGTAATGAGATATTTTGCGTTTTCTATCTAATACAAGCTGGGTATGTCCTTCACTGAGCTCTCTATCATCATCATCGTCACTACAGATGAATAAATTTGCTGGCACTGCTACTCTTAAGGGTTCTGCTGATTGGTCAACGTCTTTAATGAGACTTTTTGGTAAATAAGGAACAGAATGCTTCATCTTATATATATAAATCTATGGGCTCAAATTGTGGTCAAAATACTTTGTAAATCAGGATTTGTATGTGTAAAAAAGATTTGTGTGTGGCCAAAAAATACGGGAGGAGTCTGTGCTGCTGCCTTTAAGACCAAAGATGACCTGGATCAAGTTTGTCACACTGGAGTGGACTCTTGTTATGAGATATATTCTAAAACACTTCTTCAGCAGAGAATCAGAGAAGAGAAACACACAGATTTACTTGCTAGCAAGGGCAGCCTAGAGTGAGACTCAGAGACCCACCCTGAGGACTGCCCTGCTCCTTTAGGTATACTCTTCAGTGAGCGTTTGTTCCTCACATTGGAATGTGGAGGTGTGTGTGTGTGTGTGTGTGTGTGTGTGTGTGTGTGTGTGT